TAATAAACCGTCCTCTATTTCCATAGGAATGGAGATTATGTTTCCCTTCTCCCTCTTGACTGTACAGTTTGTTGGAGAACAATTAAAAAAAAAAAAAAAAGATCTTGAAATATTGATTCTTTATTAACGAATAATACTTGTAATACATAATGAAATAATAAAAATAATTATAGGAATTAAAATGATACTGACTTGATTGAATCACGCATAGAGGCTAACACAAAATGTCATTCGAATAGTATTTTCATCTCACTCTTGTGCTTGTGGTTCTACGATGTCTGCTCGACCAAAATGCAATTATCCAATTCTACAACCCACATTGAATTATAGAATTCTGACGAATTGCTTTGTGTGTTTACTCTCTAGGAATTTTGTACGAAAGAGAGAGAGGAAGAAAAGATAATTCTATTGGAAACTGAGATTGCAAATATATAGGTTGTTTTATACCATTTCAAATACCTGTTGAACGTATTTGAAAGTACACAACTCTTTATAAAAGCTGTGTCTCTTAAACAAAACAATTTTTAATTACTATGTTAATTAAAATTAATACTCTTATTAATTTTAACTTCTAAGGCCCAAGGCCCTTATCTTGATTAATTAATATTAATTATATTAGGCTATATTATATAAGCCTAATCCACACAATCATAAAGTACAAGTCTTTCAATCATTTTCCAAATAGGCCAAATCCTAACTATTAGTATAAAAGACAATATATATATATATATATATATATATATATATATATATAGACCATTGGGAAACATATGTTCCCCGATGTGAGACATGGAGTCTCAAAACTCCAACACAGTCTACTTTTGAGGATTATATAACTAGCATTTCTTCATCGGCTTCTATGTCGCGTCCGTACCCGTCTCACCTTTCGAGAGATTAGTATTGTCGATCGCGAAGAAGAAGCTTCGAAAGAGCTCTTAATCTATCTCTCATTTGCTAAATTAAAATTAACAAAAAAAAAATTAGAACCCAATCAAATAAATGAAAATAAACCGAACGGTAGTGTTGGTTTGGTTTTTGAGTTTGAAGAATACCGATCCAAATAAAACCAAACCGACCCTAAAATGAGCTGCCAAAAAAGTGTGTGACATTCGCTCCTCTCACAACTACTATATAGGCCCAAATTGAAAACTTTAATTGGGCCAAACTGAACACATATGTTTGGAATGTATTGGATCCATGTGCTTGTTGAATTTAGCATTGACGAGAATGGATTTAGCAAATCTTGTTTTATTTTAAACTAATCCTGTTTTATTTTAAACTAATCTGAAATAGCGAATTTAAACTTGGAGGAAGGATTGAGGTGTATATTCGTTCTAGCCAATTTGACTATGTCCATGCCTACACGGTGAAACAAAATTCGTTATATCAAAAAATTATCTTAAAAATTAAAGAAAATAAATCATCTTCTCATAGTGCCAAACAAGGCCTTAATGCACTCATGGGTTGAACGTTGCCCTACTTTGTAGGGGTGGGTTCGGTTCAAATCGGTTCGGTTTTTTGCCAAAATCGAAATCAAACCGAAATTTCGGTTCGGTTCATTTTTTTGGTTTGGTTTTTTCCGGTTCGGTTTTGGTTTTTTTTTTTTTTCAAACAATAAAAAACATTGAAATTTTAAATTTTAACATCTCCAACACAATCATAACTTAAGCATTCTAACTAGAATCAAAGACAATGAAAATAAACATTTAAAGTTGAACTAAAATCATCAATCAAGTCTTTCAAAGTCCAAACTAACAACTTCACAACACAAAAATCATACAAATGACTTAGAAAAGTTAAATTGTATGATGTTGTTCAAAGATCAGGGTTGTTTGCTTGTAACTACATGTTGACAACTTGATTAGTAAAAGTAATGTGTGGGTGGATTTATTTAGTGTGTGTTGGGTTCTTTTCCATCACAAATTACGCAAGTAATCTACCCGAAATAAATGTTTATGGATTCTGTGTACGTGTTATATGATAGTAGATTTGGAAAAGAAAGTTGGGGCAGAAGTAGATTTGGCAAATTCCTCCCTGAACTTTATCTTTAGCTAATTATCCCCCCTCTAAAATTTTATACATAGCCAATTCTATCACATCCCCACCCGGGTCCCCATTACATCCCGGGCTCGACTCCACCGTAACACGATATTGTCCACTTTGGGCCTCGACCTCGCCCTCACGATTTTGTTTCTGGGAACTCACACGAGAACTTTCCAGTGGGTCACCCATCATGGGATTGCTCTTGTGCGAACTCGCTTAACTTCGGAGTTCTGATGGAACCCGAAGCCAGTGAGCTCCCAAAAGGCCTCGTGCTAGGTAGAGATGAGAACATACATATAAGGCTTAGAGGATCCACTCCCTTGGGTGATGTGGGATGTTACAATCCACCCCGCTTAGGGGCCCAACGTTCTCGTCCGCACACTTCAGGCCAGGGATTGGCTTTGATACTAAATTGTCACATTCTGGCCCGGGCCCCTAATACATCCCGAGCTCGACTCCATCGTAGCATGATATTGTTCGCTTTTGGCTCCGACCACGCCCTCACGGTTTTGTTTATGGGAACTCACACGAGAACTTCCTAGTGGGTCACCCATCATGGGATTACTCTCGCACGAACTCGTTTAACTTCAGAGTTCCGATGGAACCCGAAGCCAGTGAGCTCCCAAAAGACCTTGTGCTAGGTAGAGATGAGAATATACATATAAGGCTTAGAGGATCCACTCTCCTGGCCGATGTGGGATGTTACAAATTCCCCCCCCCCAATGTTAGATTTTAAAATTCTTCATCTAATTTTCACCTATCCAATTTTTTATTCTTTTTGCCCATATACAATTGTCATGTGTTGTCATCGTGGTCAAAATGAATGAAAAATTTTAAAATCTAGCATCAAGGGAAGAATTGGCTATTTATAAAAGTTCTGGGGGGATAATTGGCTAAAACTAAAGTTCAGGGGGAAATTGGCTAATTATAAAAGTTCAGGGGGGTAATCGGCTAAAATAATAGTTCAGGGGGCAAATTGACAACTCTAAACAAGTTTAAGGAGAGGGAATCGACAAATATGCCTTTCGTAAATCACAAGATGTAGCTATTAATGGTTGAATTTCATTTTTAATAATTAGAGAATGAATCCATCCATCGACAACTACATCATGTGGCCTACAAAATATAATATAAAAAGATAATCTCTTTAGCATCACTATATATATATATATATATATATATATATATATATATATATATATATATAAGCTTAATTGGATTAATAGTCTTCATGGTGATAGGGTAGTCGGAAAATAGTATTTGTGGTAAAAGAAAATAAGGATTTAAGTTCCTGTGATGAAGTCTGTTAGGATTTAGGCTCAAAATTGAAAATTTCATCAAGTCTCTGTTAATTGTTAACACATGGGCTATTTGTTGACTACCCTATCACCACACGGACAAATAATCCAATGAGGCCATGCATAAATAATAATTTTATATTTTCAATAGACCTAGGCAAAATAATGAAAACATGCCATTTGCATTGTTCTCTTTTGCTCACTTCAACTCTATCTGGATAGTTTCAGATTCTGGCTCTCAACATGTGCATCAGTGCATGAGATATCAAAAGGTTACTACTTTTTGTACATATTCTAATGCCAACTTGACCCTCCCTGTGCTCATGGCCACCTACCAAAAAACCCACTCCACTCATGACTCATTTCTAGCCTTTTAACTCATTATTTCACAAAAAGTATATAGTGCTTCGGAATATCTTATACTTTAGGTTTCTAAATCTTTATATTTTAGTATTTTTGGCTTTAATTAAAGATTTATTAAAAAAATTAGAATATTCAATACTCCGAAGTACTATGTAAAAAATCTCGTTATTGCAATCAAACTTAAAGAAGAAACTCTGTTGTTGTAAAGGGCTCTTAATAGTTCATTTTGCTAAGACAATTCATATTCACACACTTTGCATTCAAAGTCTTTGTTAGGAGTGTAAACCTTATATGGGAGAATAAGACTATCTCCAACCGAACGAGGGCTAGAGGGTTCGTTTTAACCCTTTGACCCTTCAAGATATTAATATTTTAATGAACAGTACAGGGTCATATTTGCCTCCATCTACAACCGAGGGCCAAAGGGACATATGGCTCGTTTTAGCCTTGTCACAAAAAATTGTTTCCAACCGAGGACCAAAGGGCCAAACATAATTTATTATTTAAATTTAAAAACTATAACAACTTAAATTTAAAAACTACAACTTATGTTTAAAAACTACAACTTAAATCTAAAAACTACAAATTAAATTTAAAAACTACAACTTAAATTTATAGAAAAAAATGAAATTTTTTAAATATTTTTTTACAAATTTTGGCCAAAAAAAATTCAAATTCAAATCCAATGGCTAGTTGATTAAATGTTTAAGTTTAATGTTGTTAAATGCTTTTTTTTTAATGTTGGTTAATGTTATTTCATGTTGTTTCATATTGTTTCATATTGTTTAATGTTGTTTCATGTTACTGAATTTAATTTAATGTTGTATAATGGCTTAAGAAGTTATAGGAAAAAAATAGAATTTAAAAAATATATGAAACAAGTTTGTAAAATATAAGTTATAGGAAAAAAAATAAATTTAAAAAAATATATGAAACAAAATTTGTAAAATAGAAGTTCTAGGAAAAAAAATAGAGTTTAGAAAAAATATAAAACAAATTTTGTAAAATAGAAGTTATAGAGAAAAAATTTTGTAAAAAAAAAATAAAACTGTAAAAAAATAAAAAATTCAAAAATAACGGCTAGCTGACATCAGTTAGCTGTTGCATTTGAAATTTGACCTAAAATTCATGTCGGTTATATCCGATAGAAATGCTCAATTTTCTGGGCCAGCCGGTTGGCCCTTTGGCCCTTTCAGATTCCGTGGACCCACAATTTTCTGGGTCAGTGGAAGACGATTTTCGAGTTACCCTCTGGCCATTTGGACCCTTCGATTGGAGATTGCTATGTTATAGAACATGACTCTGTTGAAAAAGGTTTGGCTGCATTTGAACACGTTTTCAGGTCCATTACCGGACTTTTCGAGTTTTACAGACTTGCGGAGCTTGAGTTTGAGAGATAATTTGTTTACTGGTCCTGTTCCAGTGTCATTGGTAAGCCTTAAGTCACTAGAGGTTGTGAATTTGACAAACAATTTGCTTCAAGGACCAATGCCAGCTTTTGTTCCGGGGGTTGGGGTAGATTTGGTTAAGGGTTCTAATAACTTTTGCTTACCGAGTCCTGGTGAATGTGACCATCGAGTGAATATGTTGCTTTCAATTGTAAGTTCAGTGGGTTACCCCTAAAGGTTTGCAGAGAATTGGAAGGGGAATGATCCCTGTGCATATTGGATTGGGGTTACTTGTAATAATGGGAACATTACGGTCCTTAATTTTCAGAAAATGGGTCTTGCTGGAACGATTTCTCCCGAAATCGTGTCAATAAGGTCCTTGCAAAGAGTAGTTCTTGCTGATAACAATTTAACTGGAACGATTCCAGCGGAGCTTGCCACGCTGCCTGCACTCACGATATTTGATGTGTCAAACAATTACCTCTATAGGAAAACCCCAACCTTTAAGGATAAGGTGCTTGTAATGTTTGGTAACCCTGATATAGGGAAGGAAAAAAGTACTTCAGCTGGACCGTCTCAAAATTCCACCAACCCTTCTACAAGTATAGGTTCTGGAAACAGTTCTAAACCTCATGGAAAGAAATCTTCTACTCTAATAGGAGTCATTGTGTTCTCTGTAATCGGGGGTGTTTTTGTGATTCTATTAATTGTACTGTTGCTTATCTGTGTATATAAAACAAAACAAAAGCAGTTGAGTAGAGTTTAGAGCCCGAATGAAATGGTAGTTCATCCCCGCCATTTTGGATCGGATAATGAGAGCATGAAGATCACTGTTGCAGGCTTTAGTGTTAGTGTTGATGCACTGAGTGAAGCTCATACTCTTCCCAACAGTGAGCCCAATGAAATCCAAATGGTTGAGGCAGGAAACATGGTGATTTCTATTCAAGTGCTCCGGAACGTGACAAACAATTTCAGTCAGGAAAATATATTGGGGCAAAGAGGTTTTGGGACAGTGTATAAAGGGGAACGGCACGATGGAACAAATATTGCTGTTAAGAGAATTGAGGCTGGGGAAATAGTAGGAAAGGGGCTTTTCGAATTTAAGTCTGAGATTTCTATTTTGACAAAGGTTCGTCACAGGCATCTCGTAGCTTTTCTGGGGTATTGTTTGGATGGAAATGAACGACTTCTTGTAAATGAGTATATGCCTCAAGGGACGCTCAGCCGTTACCTCTTCAACTGGCTGGAAGAATGACAGAAACCACTGGAATGGACGAGACGGTTGCCAATTGCCTTAGATGTAGTAAGGGGTGTTGAGTATCTCCATGGTTTGACCTATCAGAGTTTTATACATAGAGACTTAAAGCCTTCAAATATTCTTCTTGGAGATGATATGCGAGCTAAGGTTGCAGATTTTGGTCTTATGCGGCTTGCTCCAGAAGGTAAAGGTTCAATTGAAACAAGGATTGTAGGGACTTTTGGATACCTAGCACCAGAATACGCAGGTAATTCTTGTTTCTATTTACTTATGCTTAATTTTTGCTATAAGATTCTTCTAAAACCAGGCAAACTTTCAATTTTATTTACTTCAACAAAAATAGAGAATAGAACATGAGAGTGATATTAGGTCTGTTTGAGTACCCACCCAATACTGCAAGCAAAATAGAAACAACTTCCATAATATGGCATCACCAGAATGCAACCTTAGTTCCTTGCCTCCATTTCCTGAGATGTTTGTAAATATTCAAGAAAACCAGTTTAAGGAAAAGGATAGCTCTGGCTTTTAAATTTTAGTTGAAAACTCAATAACCTTTTTTTAATTTTCATATCTCTGCTTTACGTATGCTTTTCATTACAACTTATCAAAATTTTATGAATGATTCAGAAATATGGACTATGAGCGGATCTAGAAATGTATCAACAAATGTTTATTATTTCATATTTTATCTCTTGGTTAGATTAACAAATTCAAACAAGAAAGCTTAATTTCTAGTTGGGTGTGTTGTGTTCAACAAAAAATAAATGAACCTTTGTAATCCACACTGCACTTGGATTATGTTAAATCAATCTTTAATAGAGGAGAGATCTCAACGAGTCAATTTTCCGCTGTGTTACAAATGTATCCATCGTTGTATTCCATTATGATCAAGGTTGGACACTCTCATGACTGCCATTCTTAAGAAAGCAAATTAGAAATGTGTGTTACAATTTGATAAGGTTAATTCTATGGAAGAAGAGAAGATGAATAGTTTTGGAATGAAACAGGGAGAGAAGAATGAGGTTGTTCTTTTTCTGCAAAGTCACAGAGGAATAACTGATTTCATTAATTGTCTCTCACTATATTGCACACAACGTGCAAAGAGAGATATAATGCCTTTTACAAACCTGAGCTGGATCAGTACAATTTGAAATAGATCTTAGCCACACATTCAGCTAATAGTTAAGATCATCACACATGGCACTCATGGCCTTTTATACCTATATACCCTCTCACTTAGTATTTAACATAAGTGCATACACATATTAACATCACAACTTATTTCTAATCAGATTTTGGACTTATACTTCAACACTCCCCTTTTAAGTCCAAAGCTGATATAACTCCTAGCTTGTCCCTGAGATAGTTAAACCTGTCCTTTGGTAAATGCCTTGGTGAAAATGTCTGCCACTTGTTCTTTGGTTGGTAGGACAGTAAACCAAGTCAATCAATTGCCTGCAAAGGCATCCTTGATGAAGTGATATCTCCTGTCAATGTGTTTTTGTCTTCTGGTGAAACACAGGGTTCTTGGATATTGAGATTGCAGATGTGTTATCACACTGTACTGTAGAGAGGTTGCATCAACTTGTAACTCTCCAAAATCTTCCAGAACAAATCTGAGCCATATGGCCTGAGCTGTGGCTTCAGAAGCACTGATATACTCGGCTTCTGCAGTAGAAAGAGCAACACAGTGTTGTTTCACAGAGGCCCATGAGAACACTCCACTTCCAAAAGAAAATGCATAGCCTGAGGTGTTTTTTGCTGTCTTCAAGAGATCCTCCCCAGTCACTATCGCAAAAACCAATTAAGACTGCCTTCTTGCCTTTCTCATACTTCAAACCATAGTCCAATGTGCCCCTAACATATCTGAGCACTCTCTTAGCTGTTCCATAGTGTTTATTGGTAGGACAATGCATATATCGAGCTAATAAACTAGCTGCATATACATTATATCCGGTCTTGTAGCAGTAAGATACAGTAAACTGCCTACAAGCTTTCTATATTTCTCTTCATCTGCTGCACCACTGCCATCTTCTTCTTACTCAACTTTTTCAGTAGCCACAAGGGTATAGAGACAGATTTACACATTCTTTCAATCCAAACTTATCCAACAGGGAAGAGGCATACTTCTTTTGATGAATGAAGATGCTAGATTCTGTTTGAATTATCCCCATCCCCAGAAAATGATGAAGAAGGCCCAAGTCTGACATCTCATACTACTTCTCCTTCATATCTTCTTTGAACTCATCCAGCATGTCTTGATTGTTTCCAGTATACACAATATCATCCACATATATGGAGACTATTAGTATATCCTTTTCTCCCCTTGTCTTAGTGTAGAGAGTTGCTTCACTTAAGCTTTTCTCAAACCCACACTTAGTAAAATAACTGTCAATCTCTCCATACCAGGCTCTAGGTGCCTGTTTTAACCCATAAAGAGCCTTATGCAATTTGTAGACCTTGTCCTCCCTGCCATTAACTACAAACCCCCTCAGGTTGATCTACATATACTTCTTCCTGCAATTCTCCATTCAGAAAAGCAGATTTAACATCTAGTTGATATAATTTCCAGCTTCTCTGTGCAGCAAGAGTTATCAAGGTTCGGATTGTGTCCAATCTTGCAACCGGGGCAAAAGTCTCATTGTAGTCAATTCCTGGTTTCTGCACATACCCCTTGGCAACTAGTCTTGCCTTGTTCTTTTGGACTGAACCATCTAAGTTCAACTTAGTTTTGAACACCCATTTAACTCCAATCACCTGCTTATCACTTGGTCTGTCAACAAGCTCCCAAGTTCCATTCTTCTCAATCATTTGCAGTTCTTCTTCCATTGCCTTTATCCAAACCTGATCTTGTGCAGCTTCTTCGAATTTTTCAGGTTCCACAATACAGAGATTGCACTGTGCCATAATATCATTTATGTTTCTCCATTTCACTGGAGTATGATCATAAGACTGAGGGATCTCAACAGATTCTTGAATGTTGCTTTCTTGTTCTTCAGTATGAGAGGAGGTATAGGAACTGGAGGCACTGTCTTGAATCTCACCCAACTCATGTGAATTCTGAATGTGGGTCACAGCAACAGAATTCTCTGAATGTTTCTTCCAATTCCAGGTTATAGTTTCATCAAAAACTACATCTCTTGAAAGAATTAACTTCTTAGTGCATGGATCAAACACTCTGTATCCCTTCTCACATGTAGCATATCCAACAAACACACCTTTGACACTCTTAGCATCTAGCTTCTGTCTTATTTTAGATGGTATATGCACATAGCATACTGATCCAAACACCTTTAAATGGCCAACCCCTGGTTTTCTGCCACTGTAAGCCTTAAATGGTGTTAAATTATTGAGTGCCTTTGTAGGTGATCTGTTCAAAATGTACACAGCTGTGTGTACTGCTTCTGCCCACAGAAAGTATGGCATGCTTTTATCATGAAGCATTGCCTTAGCCATTTCTACAACCGTTCTATTCTTCCTCTCCACTACTCCATTTTGTTGTGGAGTGTAGGCCATAGATAACTGTCTTTGAATCCCTGCATCTTCACACAGTTTGTTGAATTCACAAGATGTGAATTCTCCCCCTCTGTCACTCCTCAAACATTTTATCTTAAAGTCACTTTGTAATTCCACCATGGACTTGAATTTTCTAAAACATATCAATGCATCTGACTTGTATTTCAGAAAATAAACCCACATCATTCTTGTACAGTCATCTACAAGAAGCATGAAATATTTGTTGCCCGCAAGTGAATCATTCTGCATAGGACCACACAAATCCACATGCACCAGTTCTAGAGGTTTACTTGCTCTCCATGCTTGATTCTTTGGAAACCACTTTCTATGTTGTTTCCCAAACTGACAACCTTCACAAACTTCATCCATTTCTTCTAAAACTGGGAGACCATGCACCATTTCTTTGTTTTTAAGCTGCTGAAGACCCCTAACATGCAGATGGCCTAGTCTCTTGTGCCATATCCAAGTAGACTTAGAAATACCTGCCCTCAGTACAACCTGATCATTTGGTATCAGCGTCAAGGGGTAACACCTGTTCTTTTTCATTTCAACTTTGAGTACAAGACAATCCAATGAAGGTCCATCAAAAATACTGCACATCTTTCCCCCAAATAACAGATAGTAACCGTGTTCATCCATCTGCCCCACACTTAACAGATTTTCCTTCAACCCAGGTAGATACATTACATCTTTGACATATTTTCTGCCTTTGCTAGTATCTATCATAAGTGTTCCAAAACCTGCCACATTCATGAGTTCCCCTGTGGGCATTTGAACCTTGCCAACCACATTTGTCTTCATGTCTATTAACAAATTAGAATCCCCTGTCATATGGTTGCTACAACCACTGTCTACATACCATTCTCCATTCACTTTTGATTCAGTGATTGTGCTATTTGCATAAAACAGGTTCCCTGTCACCTCTACCTGATTAGCACTATTTGCCTTTTGCACTAATTTACCTACTGTGCACTCTCTAGCCCAGTGACCAAACTTTTCACAGTTATAGCATTTAGGTTTCCCTTTATACCTACACTCTCCAAAGTGAAACTTAGAACATACCCTGCACTGTGGTTTTGTACCTATCTGCCCCATTGACTGTGCATTATGTGCAGGACTAGCAGGAAATTTCTGCTGAAACTTAGGTTTTGAACCCCATTTCTTGCCCTTGTTATTCCAATTTTTCTGGAACCGAGATGAACCAGATTGACCTTCACCCCTATCCTGCTCTTTGAACTCACTGAGAAAGATGAGAATGCTTTCCCAGTAGTATCAACAATATGCAGATCAAACCGTTGTTCTTGACTTTTTAAGATTGCAACTACTTCCTGCAACTCTACAGTCTCTAGACACTTTGTGTTTTCTATAACCAAACAGATAGAATCATAAGGTTTACTAAGACTAATCAGAACCTTTTGCACAAGTCTCTCATTCGACAGAGATTCACCAAATGTTCTCATTTGATTAATTAGCTCATTCAGCCGTGTAAGATAGCTAGATAAAGACTCATCATCTCTCATCCTAGCATATTCAAACTCTCTCCTAAGATTCTGCAATTTCACAGATCGTACCTGATCACCACCATGATACTCCCCGTATAACAAATCCCATGCCATCTTAGCTGATTCGGCATTGGCGATTCGTGGGAAGATCTGATCCGAGACTGCATTTTGAATGATTCCTAGAGCCTTCGCATCCTTCATGAACACAGTAGCCATTTCTTCATCGACTGCATCGTCCGATGACCCTTCAACTTCCTTCTTCTTCTTCGAGTCAGGGGTTGTAATCCCTTTGTCCACCAGCTTCCATAACCCAAGCGATTTGAATATCGTTACCATCTTAATCCGCCAGAACTCGTAGTTCTCACCGGAGAAGATTGGGGTTCTCACCTCCGAGCTTCCAGATCCAGACATCTTGATCCGTCTGTTGCTTTCTCGCCTCAAATGAAAACTCCGGCGACTTTCACCGAGCTTTGACTTAGCTTAGTGACTTCACAGCTTCACGCCCAGATTCAATTGATCGAAAATCGGCTCTGAGGCCATGTTACAATTTGATAAGGTTAATTCTATGGAAGAAGAGAAGATGAATAGTTTTGGAATGAAACAGGGAGAGAAGAATGAGGTTGTTCTTTTTCTCTGCAAAGTCACAGAGGAATAACTGATTTCATTAATTGTCTCTCACTATATTGCACACAACGTACAAAGAGAGATATAATGCCTTTTACAAACCTGAGCTGGATCAGTACAATTTGAAATAGATCTTAGCTACACATTCAGCTAATAGCTAAGATCATCACACATGGCACTCATGGCCTTTTATACCTATATACCCTCTCACTTAGTATTTAACATAAGTGCATACACATATTAACATCACAACTTATTTCTAATCAGATTTTGGACTTATACTTCAACAATGTGAAAGTCAGGATTTTCTTGGGAGTTTGTGGGGTGGTTACAGGAAAAAGAAAGGTGCTAGAATGATGAGTATTCTCTAAATTTCACCAAATTGCATGTTCAATAATCGTCTTAGCGCATCTTCTCTTCTCTGCCAGCTGTGTATTTTGCCTATTTCGGACATCATTGCTCAAGGGTTTCTGAAATCACTTGAGTAACTCGAATATTATTAAGCCATTTTCGTTGCTGTTTGTAATAACAGAATGGTAGAATATTTTGCTTATTAGATTGTTCTCATTGGAAATCTCCATTATATTAGTTGTTCCCAGCTGTTTTTGGCCTTTTGGACCTTAAAGCAGTCGATTCTCTGAGCCCCACTTTAGTATTTTTGTTTTCTGTTCTTTCGTTTTTAGGTCAGCTGATCCCACTTACCTAGCTTTACAACAAAGCTAATTATTGCCTTTCTTCTGGTGGTTCTGCAATTTATAATGTCGTAGATGTTTTTCTTTTCAATAGTTCGTTTTACTTTTTCATTTAAAAGTAAATATAGTAGATTTTGGTTAATGGTTGGTAGTCGGTATTGATACTGATCGTAAACAAAACATTTGTGATACTTGCAGTTACTGGCCGCGTGATAACTAAAGTAGATATGTTCAGTTTTGGAGTGATTTTGATGGAGCTAATCACTGGGAAAAAGGCATTTGACGA